AAGGAAATTTTTTTGTTAGAAGCCAAAAGGTGGTTTCCTAATCAAAATTTTGAAATAATAGTTGGTTTTTTTATATCTGTATATATACACTATGTGTACAAATAGAAATTCTCTAATAAATAACACGTCTCTAAAATAATCAATATATGTATAATATTGCAATATATAGTATTACTGGTCAAAATTAAAACATTCAGTAATAATTCAGTAATAATTTAGTAACAATTCAGTAAACATTCAATAACAATTCAGGTACCGATTCCTGCCACTCAGCTGCCACTCAGCTATCACTCAGTAAAAATTCAGTAATATATTACTGAATTTTTACTGAGTGGTAGCTGAGTGGCAGCTGAGTGGCAGGAATCAGTACCTGAATTGTTATTGAATGTTTACTAAATTGTTACTGAATTATTACTGAATTATTACTGAATGTTTTAATTTTGACCAGTGTATATAGCTAGAAAAAAAAATTAAAGTCAAATTTGATATATATTGTGTATCAAATTTTAAGCCCAGTATATGCAAAGTTTGCTATAATAGAACCAGATTACTATATAGCATATAATATTTTTAAAAAAATTGTATACAAAATTATATTTTTTATATACAAAAAAATTTTATATACAAAGCAATATGTATCTAGTTTTTTTTTATTAATTAAGTTAGCATAATTTTTATAAAAATTTACTATAAAAAAAATCTATTACTAAAAATTGAATTAGTTTGTATTGAATAATTATAATATAAGCAGATTTGTCTAGATCTTTTGAAATTTTAAATAAAATTTTAAAATATCTAACTAAATAGTTGCTATGACCTTACTCAGCTACTCTATATGGCACCCAAAAAAACTTAATTATTTATTAAGAATATATACTTTACTTATATACAATTTGTCTTTAGATTTTATAAATAATTAATCTACTAATTTAAAATTATTATTTAGTTCTATAAGTTCTATATACTAATTGAACATATTTTGTATTTATTAGAAAACACTATAAAATAATACACAATTTTGATCAACATAATAATATACATAAATGGTTATCAAATAAAAATGTGTATGAAAATTGTGTAATAATACACGATTTTGAATGACATAATGACATATTTAAATGGCTATTAAATAAAAAACATGTGTATGAAAATTGTGTAACAATATCCGATACCCACAAAAAATGTATGTGAGAAAAAAAATATATCTACGCATAAATGAAAAAAAAAATATATTCTGATGACAAATTTTTCTGATAAACAAAAATTCTAAAAACAAAAATTGTACAACAATATTCGATAAATAAAAATTATTACAATGATATATTTTTCCGAATACGAAAATTCCGATGACAATAAAAACATAAATTATTATACATTATAGTTAGACAATAAAAAAATAATAATTATAATAATAATTATCATCGATTAAGCAATTCACGTTCATTACATTAGTATTGCATTAGTATAACGTAATTAAACGATTAGTAATGAAATCTCACTAATGCAATTTGTATATAATGTGTCATTCATTATATCATAAAAGAAATATATCAACAGAAATTTAATATGTAATATATAATATAATAAAAATAATTTAAATGTATTAATAAGTAATATACTCGCATGTACGATTTATAATGTAAATTGAATATGAATGTAATCACGTGAACAACAAGATAATAATAACAGTAGTAGAAATATTAACACATATATGTACTATATAAATAATAATAATAATGTAATAATGATAATAACAGAAATAAAATAAAAGAAAATTACTACATATTACCACTGGTGATCATCACCGGTCCTAAATTAGTTAGGGTTAGGGTTAGAAATTAGAGAATTATTGTTTTTTTATATAATATATATAACTACTATAAGGGCCTGATAGGGCCCGGTCTTAGTTCTCGTGAGGTTTTTGGGGATCCTGAACATTTTTACTTAGAGGACCCGATCCCATTTACTTAGTACATTTTTGAGATATAGCAACACCGGTGATGATCACCAGTAGTGATAAATAGCAAAATTCAAAATATAAATATAAAAGAATAAGTAATATACATATATAAGCGATTTAATAAGAGTCAAATAATAATACAATTATCATGTGATTTACAAAGTATAATCGTTAAATAATATATAATCATAGTTATATTATAATTATCATTGAAAATTAAAAAAAATATTGTTTCATATTTATTACATCTAAATAACGTAATTAATACCAATATATAAGTCATGTGCATAATTAAATATGTAATCAATATTGTTGATACTTTTATATATTATATGCAAATATGCGAAAACAACAATGACAATAAAATTAAGTAACTTACGAATAAAAAAATAATTGTTATTTTAATTTTAAATATGAATAAAAAAAAAATATAATTAAAAATATAAAAAAAAATATAATTAATAAAATTTTATTAATATTTATTCAATCGTTTATTACATTATTACGAAATAATGACAACAGTACCTAATAATTTATCGATTATTAATACTACCTTTAATATTATTATTTAAATTCAACTTACCATAAAAATATTATTGTATTAATATAAATACAAATATAGTAATATAAGAAGAACGATATAAATTATTCTTTATAATATTTTTCTTTAAAAAATTAATTTCTTAAAAAAAAAATACCTTAAACACAAAAAAAAATGAATAGTAGTTACGATACAAATAATACTAATAATAATCAAAATGGAAATCAACTTTGGTGGAAAGTATTAACGGATATGAGTAATAACCACAGAATATATAGGTATACTCCTAAATGGAGACAACTATGTTCTGTATATAGAGCAAGACTTCTTCCATCAGAAAGAAAAAATTTTTTCTGCAATCCTAAAATAAGAAACTTAATACCACCTTTACGTCCCTTACTACTTGCTCTACAAAACCTTTATATTTCAAATTCTAATAGAAATTTTAGTCATCTCAGTTGACAATATAATTCACTTTTTTCATTTTCAACTCTTGGTTATACAGGTGGTGTAATTCACTTAACATATCCTTATGCTTTTATGATTAACAGTCGTGCATACTATCAAATTCATTCTGCAAATACAGAAGGTTATCCTATTAATTGGTTTGTATATGATGCCAGTGCACGAGACAATATAGCAAGTCAACGCAGACTAGATCAAGATATTATTGATCAAATTTGTAATAAGCTACATTAACCTGTAATACTAATTTTCTTTTTTTTTTTAGTAACAGATAGTATACCATATCACGGGGACAAGTAAGTAACAGATGGTATACTGTATCACGGGGACAAGTAAGATTAAAGCATTATTAGGATCATTATCTTATAATTTTTGTAACCACAGCATCTCTATTATTTATGTTAACATAACGATCTTATTTCTCGTTACGATCGTTATGCTTATTTATTTATTTAGTATTATCTGTATTTATATGCCCGCTTACATTATGAATATGCTCTTGGGAATAATAAGCTCTAAGACTATTAAGGCTACAACGCCTAATTATTTATATTAGTTTCGCACAATTATTATTATTATTTATTTAAAACATTATATACTGTTAAAATGTATAAAAAGGCTACTTCTTTCGAAGTGCAAAAAGGACAGACAACTTGTAAGATTAATTAAGAATAATAAAGATATAATTTATTTAACTTAAATACTATAAAATCACTTATGCTCTTAAGTGTTCTGGCCTAATTCACTAAGAATCTTACAAAATTGAACAAATATTATCTAATGTTAACCCGTTTATACCAACTACGTGATACTGATTATCTGCAAGCATGAATGGTAATTCAACAAGCAATAGCTGGTATGGAAATTGCAGCTTGTGATTGTTCATTCAACTGCTATAGTTCAAGAAAAAAGTATACAAATTTGGCATATTAATGAAAAAAACCTGAATATATTAGTATTCTCAATAAACACTATGAGGCACTACAATACCCATTATTCCTTCCCTATGGAGAAATTGGTTGGCACATATATTGGATGAATAATGAATATTCTATAATGCAAAAAATTTCTCAAGTTGACTATTATTACTATAGAATTATGACTGAATCACGATTTCATCTACTCAGACGATTATTTAACAAATATTTAGTAGATATGTTCAGCAAAGCAGAAGATAAACGATTACAATTTATACGAAAAGAACAAAATAGATTTAGAAAAGGCAGATTAGAAAAAGATGAATCAATAGACGATAAAGCAGAATTACATCCAAATATTATATATCTGCCAGCATCACATACACTTTCATTTAGATGGTCCTATAAAAAAACAATGGATGCACTTGCAATTGTAAGTAAGCTTGGATGAACAACACTATTCATAACTTTTACTACAAACCCAAATTGGCCAGAAATTCAACAACAATTACGTGCTAATCAAAACTATACTAATAAACCAGATATTGTAATATGAGTATTTAAACAATACCTAACATATCTATGTAATTTGCTTAAAACATATTTTGGTAAAATAATCTATTATATGCATGCAATAGAATTCCAAAAACACGGTTTACCACATGCGCATATAATAATCAAATCAATACCAAACTTAATAAAACCTGAAGCTATTGATAATGTAGTAAGCGCAGAACTACCTACAGATAACAAACAACTCTATAAATTAGTAAAGCAATTTATGATTCATGAATGTTCTCAAAGATATATGCGATGAGATAATACATGTCGTTGGAATTATCCTCAATCTATACAAGAAAATACTGTTATTAATGAATTGGGTCATGTCAATTATAAGCATCGTACTAAAAATGATATTAATGTAGTACCTTATAATGCATTTCTTTTACTTAAATTAAACTCACATATAAATGTCGAAGTAGCTTCAACATCACATGTAATTTCATATCTATACAAATATATCTATAAAGGGCCAGACCATGCAACAATAAATATTTATATGAACAAAGATAATAAATTGGAAATGATAGATGAAATTAATGACTACCTTAATGCACGTTATCTTTCTGCAATAGAAGCAGCCTGGCAAATTTTTAAATACAAAATAGCTTCGCAATCACCATCAGTAACATGTTTACCAGTACATTTACCTGGAGAACAAATTATTGTACATGGAAACAATAATAATAATCTTTCAATACTACAACACTATTTTTTACGTCCTTTAAATCCAGAATTTGATAATTTTACATACTGCAAATATAATGAATTGTATTATTTTGATTACATAAATAATCCAATTGATCAATATTCATTACTGCCAAATACTTACTTAGAACAAAGATTAGAAGAATATTGATAACGTATTGTTAAACCATATAAAAAAGATCATATACATATAACAAGAATGAATATGATATGTCTATGTGTTGGAAAAAAATATTATCTTCACATGCTATTAAATCATCGACCAACTCGGTCTTTTAATAACCTTAGAATAATAAACAATACATCATATTTTACTTTTCAAGATGCATCACATGCTTTAGGCTTATTAGATGATACAACAGAATATATTCAATACTTTACTGAAGCTATATCATATAATTGCACACCATCACAACTTTGTTTACTTTTTTGTCACCTAATTATTGAAGGTATGACTGCTTCAAATATCTGGCAAGATTATCAAGAATTATTATCAGCTGACTTTATAAACAAAAAAGGAGATATACAGCAAGGCAAGGATGAAGTATTGATATGGATAATGAATTTTTTAGAAGAATATGGTATTAATATAACACAAATTGGTTTGCCGCAACCAACTAATTATTTTTCAGAAGTAATATGTACAAGAATACAATATAGTGATTATGATAAATTAATATCAAAATATCAAGAAATAATTTATCAACTAAATACAGAACAAAAACTTATTTATCAAAAAATCATGAATCACGTAAATAACAATATACCTTTAACAATTTTTATAAATGGTCGTGCAGGCCGTGGTAAAACATTCTTAGTAAATGCTATTTGTATTACAGTTCGAAGTTTAAAAAAAATAGCACTTTCATGTGCAACTACTGGGTTAGCAGCACTTAACTACGACGGAGGTCACACTGCACACTCCTTATTTCGTATTCTAGTAGAACATAATAATAAAGGATATGAATGTCAGATTAGTACAAATAGTGACCAAGCCAAATTAATTCAAGAAGCATCGATTATAACTTGAGACGAATTAACAATGACACAAAAAGGAAATGTTGAAGCAGTAGACATACTTCTTCGAAAACTTTGCAAAAATAATCTACTATTTGGTGGGAAAATATTTATAGAAATAGGTAACTTTCATCAAGTTGCACCTATAGTTCCAAATACTGAAAGAATGGCTACGATTCTAGAATCAATTAAATCATCTTTAATTTGGAATATATTTGAAATATATAATCTCCAACAATCTGTTCAGGATGCTCTTGATCCTGAATTTTCTCAATTTATAGATGATGTTGGAGATGGTATAAATGGCAAAAATATCTCATTACCACTATTAAATACAACATATAATTTAAACGAAGCAATTGACTTTATTTTCCTATAAAAATACCAAATAATCCAACTTTTTGCTTACAACGAGCTATACTTTCAACATTAAATAGAGAAGTAAACTCTATTAATAATATAGTTTTACAACATCTAAATAGCAATTCTGCTTATTTATGCAGTTCAGATAGCATAGCAGATGATGAAACAAACTATCCCTTAAACTGTAGGCAATTCCATGCAAATTTGCCTGGAAAATTGCTATAAATTTGCTTATGATTTACTTTTTTTAAAATTTAAAATATTTAAATAAAAAATTTTTTGATTATATTTGAAAATAAGGATTATATTCTAATTTTATATTATAAGAAAAAAAGTTTGGGTTGCTTATAAAAATAGACAAATTTAAAAAAAATTTTTAATCAAAAAAATAATTTACAAATTCTTGATGAACTCTTTAAATATTAATTTTAAGTTTATAGTTCTTAATACA